CCAACCAAACCCAAACACCATTTTCCTCCCAGATACATTATTGTGAGTAACGGGGGCTCCCCCGGAGAGGAGGTGGTTAGGAAGCCTCTGCTTCCCAACTGCCCAACATTTCCTCAGTACCGGGGGCCTGGCAGCATCGGGGTGTTGGTGCCTCCTCACGCCCATCAGGTAATGCAGGGGCCCAAGGGCCAGAGGAAGGGGCTTAGAAAGGCAAACGGCCTTTTCTGCCGCCATCTGGCACCAATTGGCGCCTGGGTTCAAATGACACCCAGGATCAGCCTGAGGTCTTGTGCCCTACACAGACTAGCCCTACAGTCCCTTGGCCATATGTTGCTGGGACAATGGAACAAATTGATTTTGCCAATGCAGAGGTCGAGGGAAGCAGCGGTCCCTCGGGGCCCCGGCAAAAAGCTGGCCCCTGCTTTCCCAAGCCCTGCTGGCTCCCTGCTCCCCACTCCGGGCGGCCCTGTGGCCTTGTGCAGAGCCCAAGTAACATTTGGACGCTGCTCAGTGAGAACACTGTGGGCCTCCCACTCCTTTTAAATTGCAAAATAAGCAGATGCTCAGGCCCCGGGCAGCTTTCGCGTGTGCAAGCTGTATTTTTGTCTTTAAAAGAGAAAAAGTCAGCAGGCAGAGGAGCTGTCTCCTTGGCTCTAACGCCTTCTCTGCTGCCTTCCAAGAGGCTCCCTCGGAGATGAGAAGTGGGAGCAACAGATCCAGCCCAGAAGAGCCACAAAGCCTAGGCTTTCCAGAGTGTTAGGTGAAGCTTCAGAGACATACTTTGCTAGGAGCTGTTTTGAGCGGTAGAACCCGTGTCGGTGACTTCTCCATTCCTGTCTTGAGGATCCTTCGGTCTCCCTGAGGCCCGGGGAGTTTACTAAGGCTTGGTTTCCTCTGTGCCTGCTCGTGGCCCCTGTTCATGAGGTTCTCCAAAGATGTGATCGGGGCTGAAAACCGGGACCTGATATAAAATACTGTGAAACTTGATTTGATTAAAAACAGTACTAGATTCACAGATTAGTCTTGGCTCATCCCACAGCCCGCCATCTAATCTGATTCAATAGTAACTTATAGTAAAAAAAGTCCCCAAACAAGGGTGTGAATTGTGGTGGTGGAGGCAGCTGGTTTGTCCTGTCAGTGGGGATGTAGAGTGCAGGGGTGCAAGCTCCATCTGATTTATGCAGATAGACTGTAGTATTATAAAGGGTTACGGAAATGATTTTTTTTCTTCTTCAGCAATCTTATCTTCCTGTAGGTGAGGTTCATTTTTTTTTTAAGGTTTTATTTATTTGTCAGAGAGAGAGAGAGCGCACAACCAGGGGGAGCAGCAGAGGGAGAAGCAGGCTCCCCACCGAGCAAGGAGCCCGATGCGGGACTCCATCCCAGGACCCTGGGACCATGACCTGAGCCGAAGGCAGACGCCTAACTGACTGAGCCACCCAGGTATCCCGAGGTTCATGTTTTTAAAATGGATTCACGGTTGCAAAGGTTTACTTCAGAATCTCACAGAGCTGGACTAAAGATTCCAGTATCATTGGAGGTTTTTTTTTTTTTTTTAATCATACTTAATGCTGAGCTCTGAAATAGATACTGTAACAATTTTCAAACTCTGGGATCCAGACTTTCAAAGTATATCCTGCTCCAAGCCCACCGACAGTGTCCATGTCTGTGAAGGAAGAGCACAGATTATCTCCTTTTCTTTTGGCTTTCAGCTTCTAGGATGTTGGTGGCAATTTCCATCTGTGTATAGGTGGTCCCTGTTTATTTACCAGTGAGGCTCCCTAAGGGAAGGATTGGAAGTTTTGTTTATTTTTTCCTACCTTTAGTTCTCTTTTCCCCATCTCTCGGATGTCCTGGATTTTTCTAGCTGGAGACGGTGGAACCCCCCTCGCTGCTTGCCGGGGCAGAGTGCTGCAGAGCGCCTTCTGATTCAAAGGCTTTCTGTTAGAAGCCAACGTAAAGTTCATGGACTACTTCAGCCTCAATTCGACTGTCTTTTCCTCAACCAGCACTTACATGACTTGGAGTCTGGTATTATGCTACTCCATTAGAAATAAAACATCTGGTTTCTGATTGGCTGAGATGAGTTCTATTGTTCCTTTCTTTGTCAGAGGTCAGAATCACCGTGCTCTGGAATGTTAGCATGTGTTGGGTCAGGTGGATAATTTGGGTTCTAGAACTTAAGTGGCTTCGTCAGCACTGAACTCAGTAACAGTTCTCTCTGGGAAAAGGACTCAAATTTTCTCCTGTCAGAGCACCGTGCAATAATTGCTTATTGTTATTTTGTAAGCTACTTTTTCCCTGTTCCTTCTCTCTGGGTGCTCCCAGACCACATAATAGGACATTATGATGAATTCAAGAAATGCCTGATGCATAAATAATGGGATGAGAACATTTAAGAAATAGTACTTTTGTTATAGGTGTAACGGTTCCTCATGATGATCCAGAGTTACGGTCAAATCTGAAGGATGCTGCACTTGTTCAACCCTCTCAAATATTGAGGGTGGAGGTGGGGGCGGGGAGAGTTGGGGAAGAGTACATTATGCAACACAGAAACCACGACGGATACTAAATAAATATGAACCCACCATAGCACAGTTTAATGCTGCTCCAGGCAGCTTCTTCCCCCCCTCCCCCGCCCCCATCCCAATTCACTCCTTCTTTCTTGCCTCGTCAACGTGAGGAAGGGCTGGCACTTTTGTGGAGACTGTGCAAGGTTGCTGGGGAATCATTTCATTCTTGTGCGATTTGGGCTTGCTTTTCTCATTGTTCATCAGGTCAGTTTAAGCTTTAAACATTTAAACTATGTAACACTATGTGAAAATAAGATCATGTTTAAGACAAAGTGGAAAAGAACCAAACACCTAAAAAAGATGAATTGGTGAAAACCTTCCGGCGGACAACCTGTTCTTTTGTTTGGGGAGGTGGTATGACATAATCCGGGAGCATTGTCTCTGTTGGGATGGCAATGCTCTCAGATGAGAGTGCTGTCCAATAAGAGTATATCCAAACACTCAGGTGGCTGGGCTGGAGGTGGAGGGACCAGCAGGATTGCACGCTGTGCCTTATTGTGCATCAACCCAGTTGCCCCCAGGAATACTTGAGCCTCAGTCAATCCCCTGCTCTGGTGCCTTTGAATTTTCTTAGTGACCAGTGCTTCTAACTCACAGTCACGGGATCTGAGATACAAGTAAAAATTGATGTCATGTGCCGTATAAAAATTTTAACCAGAGCAATAAGCTAGTTTAGCATTCTTGGGTGGAGAGCGTAGTCCTTATAAAAGATTTTTATGATCCAAAGTGAGAGCATTGTGAGTGAGGGTCTCCATGTTTTAATTGGAGGGTCCTGCCCACAACTGCCACTTTGCCTGTCTTTGTGAGGATATGCCTAGGTCAGACAGGAGGTCCATGGGACCCCGATTCCTGATAAACAATCTTTTATTGTCCTCTCCTGTAGTTTCTGTCTTACTATGGTAAAGTGATCACAGAAGTGATCTCACCCAATAGGAGATCATTTTAAATTGTACTTTAGATCATGCAAACTTTTGAGGAGAGAATTCTGAATTAAATCTCAAATCTTCTTTTAAAATCTGAGATTGCAAATATGGCAGATGTCCTACCTTAATAATAAACATTTTATTTGGATAAATGTTTGGATTTTTTTTAATGGTACCTTAAAATTTCAGTTTTGGAGTTACCATTTGAGGATTAAGGTATAAAAAAAGTTCTCTGTTCCTCCAAACTCATACAGATTCCATTCTTCCAGTGCTTTACTGACACATAAAGAATCTTTCTTCTCAAGGTGGTAACATTTCCTTGTACTTTTATTCTGAATGATATATTTTCCCCTGAATTTGCTGAATAGAATGTGTGAGGTTTGTGTGTTTCAGACCCATAATATTTTCCATGATCTTACATAATTTATCTCCTACAAGGAGTGTTTAGAAAATAATAAAAACAGGAATACATGTTTTGGTGCAATAACAGTTATTAATAGGATCCCTGGAGGCTGGTTGAAATTATTCAGTCTTCTGTGTGTTTTCTAGATATCCAGAATTTTTGCTTCCAACTTTTCTCACTTTTTAAAAAAATTCCAGTATAATTAGCATACAGTATTGTATTAGTTTCAGATGTACAATATAGTGATTCAACAATTCTATACCTTACTCAGTGCTCATCACGACAAGTGCCCTCCTTCATCCCCATCACCTGTTTCACCCACCCCCACCCACCTCCCCTCTGGTGACCATCAGTTTGTTTTCTGTAGTTAACAGTTGGTTGCTCAGTTTGTCGTTTTTTCTTTGTCCATTTGTTTTGTTTCTTAAATTCAACATGGGTGAAATCACATGGTATTTGTCTTTCTCAGACTTGCTTCACTTGGTGTTATACCCTCTAGATCCATCTATGTTGCTGCAAATAGCAAGACCTCATTCTTTTTTAAGGCTGAATAATATCCCATTGTGTGTGTGTGTGTGTGTGTTTGTATCACATCTTATTTATCCATTCATATCCATCAATGGACACTTGCATTGCTTCCATAATTTGGCTACTGTAAATAACACTTCAATAAACATAGAGTACATATATCTTTTCAAATTAGTGTTTTTGTATTCTTTGCATAAATACCCAGTAGTGGAATTAGTGAATCATACGATAATTCTATTTTTAACCTTTTGAGGACCCTCCATACTGTTTTCCACAGTGGCTGCACCAGCTTACATTTCTACCAACAGTTCATGAGGGTTCCTTTTTCTCCACATCTTCGCCAATACCTGTTTCTATCTTAACATACTTCTATTGGACAGACATTTTAATTGAAGATAGATTATCGTTCTCCACCAAATAGCATCTTAAATCACAATGCTTTAATAACTTAACTATTTTTCAAGTTAAGCTCCTTACAAGATCAAATTACACATTTTCCCCCTTACCTGGTTTTAGCTGAAAACTATTTTAATTTGGGTTTTCTTTAGAAAAAGAAACAGAACACATTTCATTTTTATATAGAATAAACTTTGTTTTTATTATAGACATGGATCAAAAATAAAAGTTTTTATGTACATATGTAGTGCAAATGAAAGGCTTTGAAATACCATGGATAGACATGTTGTTGGAAACAAAAGGAGATGAATCATGGGTGTTAGGATGGTCGTCCTGGAACTGCAGGAGGGGGTCGCCTAGTGAAAACAAAACAAAACAAAATAACAAAAAGCAAAACACAGATGCAGAGGAAGAAAACAATGTTTAAATTATAAAACAAATCCAAATAAAAGCATGCAAAATGATCCCACGAGAGTCAAATTCAAATCAGACAAAAAACATGCAGACATGCAGGGGAAATGAGAGAACCACATGGCAAAGTGAGCAGTTCCCAGGACTCCTCCTGGCTACGGGCAGTGGGCTAGGTGTGAGCCACGTGAGCCCACTCCAAACTCTTATTTTGTACCATGGGACGATAAATCCATGCAATCATATTCAGGAGACTTGGAAATAGTACCAGAGCCAAATACCTTTATGGCCTTGAGTATTTGTTTCTGAGCCCCGATTTTGTGATGTTCGGTTACTTCCAAAGATTCCATCAAATGTTAAATCTCCGTAGGGAGAAGGAGTTGATAGAGAAATAGGACAGGTGAAAAATGTTTTTCAGGTGAGGGAAATTAGAAGGTGTCATGAGATCCGATGAGCAATGCAATCATAATGCAGAAAATGTCAGGGGTTGAGCTTGGAGAAAAAGGATTTGTAAGTAAGAATCTGCTCCACGTGAATATCCCGATATGATAGCCTTTCCAGGCCCAGGGAAACTACAAGGCTAGCCCTGGTCCACGGGAGCCTGGGAGTCTGTCTCAGAATCGCGCACAACCGAAGTTCTGATTTATTCAGAACTGGGTGCAGGGTGAAGGAGATTTAGTTTGCTGGATCTTTCTCCATATTCCCTACCCTGGCTTGCATCTTGTCAGGCCGATGGTTGTGAAATAAGGGTCCAGAGTCGTGTTTCATTTTGACATCAGCCTCTCTGGATGATTTGCTGCTGGAGGAGTAAACTCTACGTTGCCACGCACGGCTGTGTAAGTAGGAAAACAGCATGCCAAATGAAACTTTCCCACTGGTTTCCAGCAGCCATCTGTATTTTAATTTCCTCTTTCTAACCAAATTGGTAATGAACTCAACGCTACAGCAAGCCATGGAACACGGTGAAGTTAGCTCAGTACCCTGCTCCCTGTGGGATGTCTTTTTGGCTATTCATCCAGGTGTCCGACAACACACTCACTTCCATCTTATAACACTTCAGAGAGTGGAGCAATGAAGTCCACCAAAAACAAAAACAAAAACAAACTTCTTTTTCATCTTCTATGAGATGTTAATGGAGCCAAACTGACGGCGCTATTTCTGAGCACTGGTGAAAAATCTTACCTTTTCTTCAGTCCAATTTAAACTGGCTATGCTAAGGAGGCCTCTCATCCATTTAAATGATGAAGAGCTTGTTTTTGGTAACCTTTCAACTGCGGGGGGGTCTGCAAGCCTTTAGCTTTAGAGATCCAGGTAATGGGTATCCCTGGTGTTTTCATGAAGAAAGTGTAATTAAATTCCTGTCAGGCTCAATGAGATTTATCACCTGCCCAGCAAACAGAAACTATTTTGGAGTTCTGAAGGGGCTTTAGAACACTTTAATTACCTCAGCAGGGTGGGGAGGTGAGCCATTAACCTGAACAGGGAGTCCACAGTGCTGAAGAGACATTCTGTTAGCATATGCCAAAGCACTTTCCTGTTTGAGCTCGTTTGGTGTTCTAATCCAGAAACAGGATCAGAAACTCTATATCTTAGAATATATTTCACCTGATAGCTAGAATGTTTGCTTCAAACATCAGAGTGACATTTATTCCCTCAGGCAGCTCCTTTCTTTTCCTCTTCACTCTCCTGCACCAACTTTCCTCTCACTGCCAAAAAAGCATCGTTGAGGATGACACCATGCAGTGGCTCAGAGATAATTCTAGCATGGATCTTGGCGGTTTGGGTTTTCGCTATTTCTTTTCCAGAACTTCCTATATTACTTACACAATGCTGAAGTGCCTGAAGGCAAGTGCTAAAAATATTTGGGCTTTTCACATCTTCGAAGAGCAGCTGTAACTGTACCTCATACTGTTGCTGCCTCTGACTTGGAACACTGAGTTGAAATGCTGAGTAGGTTTTGCACATACATAAAATCTGCTAACAAATTTTAAAGTTCAGAATACCACTATTCCCCATACAAGCAAATCTACCTAATCAAGATTCTAATTTCAGGTTATACCTTCTTAAGTTTTCTGAAAAATAGCTTCAAAGAATTGTTTGGCCAGAACAGGAAGGGAAGGAAGCAGGAAAAGCTGTGTATGGAACACAGGGATTATTCACACATAAAAGACTCAATTATCAATAAGAGTGATGGATTACCCACATTCTTTGGATCTACCTCCATACTGCGATCTGTTCTTACAGTGAAATTCCTCTAGCACAGTCCCTGGGAAGGTCTTATGACTTTTTTCTTTTCTGTTACAATCTCACAAAACATTCTCTGCTTGCTTTCTTTGCCCATCATTTAGATAACTTAGTATCTCAGATCAGCAGGTGAGCCTGAAGGCTTGGGAAAGTGAGGCAGGAATGGCAATAAGGCCAGGCATTCCCTTCTATTTTTGTTTGGCAATCTTTAAACTTCTTTAAATCAATCTGGATCCATTCCTTTACAGGAATATAACGGGGTAATGGAATTAATTTAAAGGCGCTCTTCTTTGGAGAGTGCGAGAGAAAAGGTCGTGTGGAAAATTATCTGTGTCCTCCACAAGGCTTACTAAGATTCACTGCATGTATGTCTCCAATCTGCTTTCATGTCTCTGTTCCTCTGTGCTCTTCCTCCTCGGGTCTAGTACAGTGCTGTGACACCAGCATGGTAGTCCAGGAAGACTGTCCCAAGTTGGGTGCTCTGGTTGCCCTTACATTTGATTTTATCACCTGACTGGGTACAGTGACAGTCTGAACTGGACAAATCTTGTTCGAAGCCTTTTCTCTCTCACCCAAAGCCCCTGAAGCAGTGTTTCCTCACAACACTAGACCTGTAAGCTGCTTTATGAACAAAGCATGGACAGTCAAATAAGTCTGAGAAACATGTAGACAATGGCTCTTCCTTAGAGATTCACAATGCAATCTGCTATCAAAGCTTCTATAATGTCTTCCAGTAAAGAAACATTTAATTTTTAATCATTTCCCAAGTGTATTTCATCAAGAAACCCATGGTATATGTATGTGCAAAACCGACTAAAATCTCATGGAATGAACTTTGGGAAACTCTGGATTAAGACTGTCATTTTAGCCAACATCTCTTGCGTGTATTCTAATTATTAGGCTGCCACAGTGGGAAAGAACACCAACAAAGGGTTATCATAGTGGCAATGCCAGGTGTGTGCTGGAGTACTAAGAAGGAGGGTCTGAGAACCATCTAATCTAAACCCTGGAGATTCCAGCAGAAAAACAAGAATCTTGACAAGTGAAAAGATACACTGATGCCAGAACTATTTTAAAAATACAAATGGTAATCTGCCAAATAGTTACCAAATAAGTAGTTTGCCAAATAAGGTCCTTTGGTTTGGGTAATTTCCATTAGAAACTATTCTGAATAAAGAATCACGCAGTAGAACTCACACACATGCATGCACACACACACACACCACACAACACAAGTGTACAGCATGATTCTCATCCTGTCTCTTCTAGTAAAAACCTTCCTTTGAAGGCATTAATGGCTCCACTCGTGGAAGATGTACAGATATGAAAAAGAAATTACAAGAGGAAAGCATGAATTAATACATACAACAGTCTTTGCAACTCATCTTTTCCCAGTGAAATGTATCCTGAACACAGAGGGTAAGTAAACCAACGTTCTTCTCCTCCCATTCCCTTCTTGTCTTCTGTTTTTGGATGGATGGCTCAATCTGGGACTACGTACATTGATAAGGGACCTATCATCAAAACTCGGTAATAGTCTTTCTCTGTGTTCTGGAAACTGAGGACAAGGATGTGTGTAGTTACTGTTTAGCACTCTACTCTTCCATCTTCTTAATATTAGGCAAAGTAAAGGGTTAACTTCTCCCCTTGATGCCCAATGAGTAAATAATGAAGGCCAACTGTTGAGTCAAGAGCTCAATTACTTTCTGTAAGAAATGCCTTCTGTGGACCTAACATTTGGGCAGAGTGTTCTTCCTCCTTCTGCTTCCCAGGGTTTTTCATGAACACTTCCTCTTCAATAGCAAAATAAGACGGTACCTCTTAGCTGTCACACTGCACCCTCCAACTGTCTAAAGCTTGTGCCCTTTTTAAACCTAGTCCAACACTGAGTTTGAATCAGAAATAAAATGTCTCCCACTCTCCTGCCTTTGCTTTGTCCAATTTGCTCCCCTTAAAAATCTTGTCAATAAAAAAAAAATTAAAGAAAAAAATAAAGATCTCGTCCTCCCCCAAATTAATGCAGTAATGCCAAATGCTATTATTCCCCATTTTGGTAATTCTGGGCCAATTTGATCAAAAGAGTTGTAAAAGTATTCAGAAGTCTCAGATCTTACTGATATGCATAGATACAACTCAAATATATTATACAAGAACGAGGAAGGGGGGAGTCCTTCAAATGTTAGCATTTATTTCAGGTTCAGAAATACAGCTTCACATTTTCACAATAGGTACATGTGACCTTCAAGAATGATACAGGCTTGAGGAACTTCCTTCAAAAATTCCATTCACAGAGTCCATCCATATATCAGCATTAAGAAATCCTGAAAGTGTCAAGGAGACAGTGGAAAGTATTCTGGCTCAAATTAATTAAAGAATCAACAGAGAAGGTAAGATTTTGCCTCTACACACTGCTTCTTCATAAAAAAGCAAAAGGGGAATTTGATTCAGAAAAGGGAGAAAAAAGAAACAGATGAGCGAGCAACACAAAGGCTGCACACATGAAATTAAACATGAATCAAGTCACGGTGAAATTTCTGGAGGAATCATTGTTTTTTAATCAAACTGGCAACAGACAGTGCAAGAGGTCGACAGAGTAATTTTTATCATATTTTTTGAAAACATTACACAATGAGCAAAGTTTAAGGAATTCAAAGGGTCAAAATTTAGAAGAAACTAATGCCTCGAGCTGAGCCATGTGTGAAAC